CAACATTTTATTCTTAAACAAAAACAAAGAGAAAACCATAAAGTACTACCTTGAAAATTGGGACACTAAAAATATCGTAAGGACAAACCTTTCTTTCGTCACAGAAAACAGGGCGTTCCGCAACCACACAAAACGGTTCTCACCCAGAGCTGCGGGGCTGGTTCTTTTGACCTTGGCCAAAGCTTTCCCACAAGGACTAATAAAATTTAAAATTGAAATAAAATAAAAACATGGATCAATTTCTCCCACGGTTAAAGAATATATTACTTTTAGTTATTCCTTCAACCAACATTTGTTAAATGCTCTTATAGGTATTACAAACTGTGATAGGTGTAGAGATTCCAGTCCGAATAAATGTGGTCTCCATCCTCAGTGGCTTGTGATTTGCTACTCAAGGAAGGGTCCTCTGCATAAAAGAGACGGTGGACCTGGATCTGGGCCGGTGCTGAGAAGGAGCCCAGGTTTCTGCTCTAACTTGAGAATCCTCGTGGTCCTACCTTGTTGCTGAGGATAATTCCTATTATGTTCTAATGTACTCATTAAAGTCAGGGCCTACTTCTTATTCGTTCAACTAGGTTATGCTTTTTAGTATATAAAATTTTAATAATATTATGGGAGCCCCTCTTATAAGTAAAAGTTATTTGTTTTCTTCATTCACAGCAGTGGCTCATCCCTATAATCCGAGCACTCTGACAGAGGGAGGCAGGTGGATTCCTTGAGTTCAGGAGTTTGAGACCAACCTCAGCAAGAGCGAGACCTTGTCTCTACTAAAAATAGAAAAACTAGCCATGTATAGTTGTGAGTTCCTGTAGTCCCAGCTACTTGGGAAGCTGAGGCAGGAGGATTGCTTGAGCCCAGGAATTTGAGGCTGTTGTGACCTGTGATGCCATAGCGCTCTACCCAGGGTGACAGAGTGAGACTCTATCTCAAAAAAATTTTTTTTAAAAATGCATTTCGTACCAAAAAATTTTATCATCCTATTGATTCTTCCTCATTTTTCACAAGGCAAGATAATCACAGTACTATCCATGTAGACATGGATCCTTTGGGGACAGACTTTCCATGCAGACGTCCCGCAGTGCCCTCCCGAGTGCAGGTGGGCATCTCACCTGGAGGCGGGGGACACAGCAAGTGCAAAATGGGGAGGGAGTAGACAGCCTCCAAAGAGCCTCTGAATGAATACCTAGGAGAGGACTGGCTGGGGGATCAGATGAAGGAAGGACAGGGAATGACGCTGAGTGGGTGAGTACGGGCATCTCTGCTTCTAAGTCTGAACTGTTTGGACCATTTTACGAGAAACGCATGAAACCCAAAGGTACCTGGGGCTTCCTGGATGCGGTTTTTACAAGGTTCTGTATTCAAAAATAACTTGTGAAGTTCTTACCATCTGTACTTGTGTATCGCAGAATCACCATGATGTCATTTGGTAAAATTTCCGTCTTTCTTTTCAACACTTGTATTAAGCACTCTGGATCCTAAAGTATCCAAACTTACTTTTCTTAGATCTTTGCTGTCTGGGTAGAAAATTATATGGAGCTTCCTAGGGGTCGTGGAGCTGATGTGTGACTGGTTT